TATTTAATTCAGTGAATTTAATATATGATATTAATGATAATTATGATATAATATGAACATTTATTATTTTTTACTGCGCGATGCAGACGGCCCTGTTATTCGCGCGAAAACAGACCCCCAGTCCCATGAAGACCATCTTGAGTATATATAAGAAGATAACTTTGCGTGCTTACGACAAAAGGTGTTAGACTACTTGAGTGAATTAATCTGCGAGTGAGAAAAGTTCTTTTAACAGTTTATAAAAAATTCTAACCCGACATCAAAGGTAAGTACCACACAAATCATTAACATTTATGAAATTATTAAAATTTCATTTATTAGATAAAACTTAATAATAACTATCCTGTTCTTTTTTAAATTTTAATTTAATTTGTTACAAACTTATATTTACTATTTTTTTAAAGTAACTTTTTATTTAAGTTTAGAATTTATGAGTTTTATTATTACATTAATTTATTATTACCTTATTTGTTATATTTTTACATTAATTTTTATTATTAATCAACTAATTTTATTATTACTCTATAAAAATATATTAAATTAGTATTTTTTTGACAAACGTAATAATGTAAATCGTATCGAAGATAAACAAAAACCAAAGATGTTATAAAAAATTAAATAAAATTTAATATGTGTAACACATTAAAATTAGCGACGTATTTGCTACTTTTAATGTATTGGATATATTAAATTTTATTTAATTTTTTTTTAACATCTTTCGTTTTTGCTCGTTTTATTTTATATTATTATATTGATTATCAATAATGGTTATCCATTTATCTTGCATTTTTTTTTTTACTTTTTTACTCTTCATTTTTTTTTTGCTATCGTTACGTATTAATTTGTCTATTCGTGTTTTCTTTTTTTAGATGACGCTAGGCCACAAATTCACGATCTTTTTCATTTTCACTATTGTGTACCTAGCGAAAACTCAACATGACAAAAATCGAATTCCTCCTTGGGATTTCAAGAATAATTTTTGGACAATAACAAAACGGCCAGACGTTGTGACAGATTCACAAACATTAACATTACCCACACAAAAATATGTTATTTCCACTGTCCCGACATTTCCCTCAAATTCGTGCCCTCCTCATAGTCATGTCTTCAGTTTCTCTAATGTCGGTCTTCAAAAAATCGGTCGAGACTTTATTAATAGCAATGATGTTGTTAGCCTTAGTCTTGATAACAATAATATAAATGATATCTCGCCGTTCGCCTTCCGCAAGATGCAGAACTTGAAGTATTTGGATCTTTCTGGGAATAACATTCCGAAAGAGAAGCTGTTATTGTTGCCAAGAAGCGCTAATCTGCAGACATTGATTATCGACAATAATCGAGATTCTCATGATCCCGTTACAGAAGCCCTGAAGGAATATGAAGTTTTTCAGAACTTGAAATATCTGCACCTGTGCAACAGTCACTTACGGAATTTTCAAATTCATTTTTATATAGCAACACCTATCTTGACTCATTTATATCTGAACAATAATGGCATCAATTCTAGTGATGCCGTCTTCGACAATATTCCGGCAACATTGACTCATCTGCATTTAAACAAAAATGTTATCGATCGAGTCAAACAAGGCAAATTGAGGTACTAATATTTATAAAATTGTTTCCTTAGTTAATTAATAATTTTCTTGCTTATCAAAGAATCTAAAAAATTGAATTTTAAATAGACAGTAATTGATATTTCTGTTATTTCTATCATTTTATGTATTACTGCCATTATTAGTATCATTAATATCATTGTCATTATTGTTGTAGTTATCAATTTTAAATTAATTTTTCAGTTTATTTTTTTTCTAGAGAAAGTTTTTCTTGAAATTCTTTATAATATTTTTAATATTAATATTTTTCGAAATTTTTATATAATTATATACCTTTTAGAAAATTTTTTAGGTTTTTTAATATGTAGATTTCCTCAACATTTCTAAAAAAAGTGCTCCAACTTATATTACTAAAAATATTACATACATTATATTAATTTAATACCTTTATATTATAAATTGGAATACTTTTCAGAAATCTTGTGAAAGTCTACATTTTTTTTTTACATGTAAAAGATTATTTTTTTTTTTTTATAAATAAAATTTCTTATTCTATAATTTCTGAAGAAAATTAAAATTTGAAAAAGTTTAAGAAGTACAATAAATAAGTAATATTATGAAATATTATGATCGCAACATTATTGTAATACTATATTATTGTAATACTATAAATATTAGTTTCACAAAGTCATTGCTATTGCTGTTAATTTATTATTACGTTTATTGTTATCAATAATTATCATTAATTATCAATATATAATTATTGCTGTTATTATTTACGTTATTTATTTCTTTTTCTTCAATCTCAACTATTAATTTTAGGCATTTGCAAGAACTCAGTATGAACGACAACGTCATTACCCAAGTGTGTTTTGAGAAATGCGAAGATAAATCCATATCCTTGAAAGATGCTGTTGAAATGCAGTATCTGTCTTTAGCCAGGAATCTGATCTCAGAGATATCATCCGATGCTTTTAGTGACACAAGTCGCCTGTTAAAGCTAGATCTATCAGACAACAAGATCGCTGATATAACTAAAGGCACGTTCAATAAAACTATGATGATAAGTAATCTTTCTTTAGCTGATAACATCCTTGTTACTGTACCGGATATCTGCTCAATCATGTTCCTAAGAAATCTGGATCTGTCTGGAAATCGCATCAGCGCAATATACTCTGGCACTTTCTGCACTAATTTGAGGACTCTCGAGTATTTACATCTGTCGAACAATGTTATAACCACTATTGAAACCCGAGCTTTCCGCAGTCTCCAAAGTTTGAAGTATCTGGACCTTTCTGGAAATCGCCTCAAGCAACTTCCGGCACATTGGGTATATTCGTGGTACATCCAAGAGCTGCATCTTGAACGAAATAATTTCACCGAGTTGGACAGCATATCGTTGATTAATATTAAGGAGCTAAAAAACATTTATCTTGATGAAAATCCTATGCCAGTATTGACGGCAGGATCTTTTCAATTACTTCCAGGACATGTAAGAATACATTTAAAAAATATGCATGTTGAATATAAATGCGAACAGTGTACATGCGAGAATGAGGACGATGAGGATGATAAGAATGATGATTATGAGAATAAAAATGGAAGTGATGATAATAATAATGACTTTTTGGAATAAAAAATATCTTGAAATTTTTTAATTTTGTAATTTTTAAATATATCTCGTTCTCAAAAAGACTTTATACGCCAAATGAGATAGACTATCTTGATGGAAGTGTATAATTATGATAAATTTTTCTTACAGTAACTGAAATTTTATTGTCATATTTTAAAAAAGTGTTTCAAACAAATTTTATATTATTATATGAATATAAAAAAATAAATGAGAACAAAATTCAATATTTAAATTTACATACAATTAAAAAGTATCTAACAAAAAATTGTTTACTACTTAAAAAAAATATACTTTAAGATAATTTTTATCTTTATTAAAAATATCGGTTTTAAAATATTCCAAACAAAACTTGCTAAATAATGAAATAAGTATACACTGAAAAAAAAATTTGTTGAATTTTAATAAATATTTGTTTCAATAGTACTAACGAAATATATACTTTATAATAAATAAGTATTTACTCAAAATAAAAAAATTATGCTTAAATCAAATAAATATGCGTTTACATTTAACTATTTTGTTAGTACAATTGAAACAAATATTTAGTAAATTTTTTTTCAGTGTACTTTAGTTTTAATTTCGCTAATAAATATCTTTGAGGAAATCACCTTTCATTATGTAATTCGTTTAGCAAGAACTTACATAGATTTGTAAATAATTTTGTTTTTTATCACAAATAATTTACCATATAAACAATTAAATCTTAATTTCGTAATTTACAATTAGTTTTACAAATAGAAATCAAATAATAATCATTATCGCTTTGTAGTGCTTCATAAATTACGTACTTAAAGCAAAGTACATTATTCGAATTCATTATATTGTACTTCGCTAATACTTTATTATACGCTTGATCATTTTAGGCATCATGTATTGCTCTATAAGATAATTATATAATAAATGCGTGCGTAATTATATATGTTCTTTGCTTGTATGATTTTTGAAATAAAAACATTTTATAATGAACTTATATATATTTAGTATATGTAAAATTAATGGATGTAAAATTATATTCACGTAAATATTCTCACGTATATCCTGTTAATATTAACACATAGACTTTTCAAGAATGAATCTGGACACGAAAGAAATCTGCGAAACGCATAATCTTTAAACACATAGACTTATTTAGCTATCCTTTAACTATTTTTTTAATTCATTGAACATTTAATTTATATTCATGAAAAGTTGTTTCATATTTTTTCAAAGACTAACAAAAAATTATTCTAAACTACTGGTAGTTTATATTTGTAAAATAATGAACCGATAACCATCTTTTGCCAATGTTTTAAAAATTTGTTAATGTGATGCATTTGCAATTTTTTAAATATTTATTATTTCGCAGCATGAATTAACGATAGCGACATCGCAGAATAAATGCAAATATGGTGCATGAAACGAGCGTAATATTTAAGCTCGTGCATATCAAAATTCCAGAAGTCTCTACGATTTCCACGAGAAGATGGTAAAATCTTCTACTTTATTTTTTTTTCCCATTTCGCATTGGGAAGTCATCCTACAAGATTAAACGCATTTCATGTCGTGCAAAAGTATAGTCAAAAACATCTGTCTTCCGTCGCATTTAAATTATATATAAATTATGTTTATATAATTCTATACACAGCTAGAAATAAAAAGTAATGCCATTTTACAGGTTTTTTTTTAATGACGGCATTTCTTTTTTTTGGAACTACTAACGGTAACGTAGTCATTTTAGTTAACTAATTTTTAATTACTTTTTACATTTTAAATCTATTTGTGATATAATTTTCATGTATTTAATCTTTAGTTTTTAATTAATATTCATAGTCCATCATTACATTTCATACCATCTGTTAATCTATTTCAATCATTTGTTTCGTAACTCGATCTATACATTTTTCTATTGTAAATATATTATAAATCCCTATGTAATTGTAATTCAATTGTAAATCCCTATATATATATATATA